TCATGATAAGCCTCCTGTTCTTCTGTTTGCAGTATGTAACGAGTTTCTCTACATCCTCTGGGGGGGGGGGGGCGTTGCTCCGTTCTCCAGTAAAGTACGCTGAGGCACATATTAGCTTCTGACTTCCACCTGTTTGTTGAGCCTCAACCTCCACTGCCACCAGATCCCTTGTGATGAACTCTGGAATTGGAAGAAATTTTAAAGATTTATTAAACCACAATGCGGCTCTTGGTATTTGTGCGCTTGCTTAATATGATCTGGAAATTAATACTACTGGAAAATTATCTGGAAAATAAAATCTTGGTTAACACAGAAATCTTATTTATTAAAGTATTATTTATGATCAAATAAGAGATTTTGGAAGCTTCCGAAATTATGCATTGAATAACTAAAGCAAAAATACGTGTTATCTTACAGAAGTAACCAGAATAATTTATGAGACAAAGAAAATATATTTGGCTCATAAATTTTGAAGTATGATCAAAATATCCGACCAATAGATGCTTTTTAACTAGATATAACAATTACAGATCTCCCAATGGGGCTGTTAACAAATGTTAATAAATTTTGTCGATTTTTGAAATAACTTTGGAAATGCCGGAGTTTGAGTAGTGAAATGATGTATTCTCATTCTCATAATAACCATGCAATGTTGCCTATATACTCGTAATATGAGAAACACTAAAGATTAAATTTAAATAAAATTGCACAATATTTTAATTTGAAATTAAAAATGTTAATTATATTGATTTAAGGAAAAAATACAAAGTTTTGCAATAAAGAAAGCACTTCTACTATTTTGTATCAATGTATGTATAGGTACGTACATAAATTTTATGTGTTCATACACAAATCGTTTTCATTATGCATACTTACATTGCTTAAGGTAAAATTATTTCAATTGCTTGTATAATGAAGAAAATTTGAGTTTTTAAAAAAAAAAACAAAGAGAATAATAAAATAAATAAAAAAATTTTTTTTTTTTGCGCTCTTTGCTTTCTTGTATATTCATTTAAAATAAAAAAAAAAATTTATAGTAAGATTATTTTAATAAGATTTCAAAGAACTAGTGAAAATTTTCCCGTATTCACAAAAATTTAATTTGAATTTATTAATTAGTTTGAAATTTCATTTTAGCAGATTGAAAAACTTCTTTTTTGAAGTTGAAACAAGTTTAATTGTCCTTTTAATACAAAAATTGTTTCATTTCATTAGAAAAGGATTGACGAAACATGCTATTGAGAAAAAGAAGTTACTAATTACCATTAAGAAACACCTGGAATAGATCAATTTCATTAAAATTGCTTATAAATAAGAAAACTACAAATATTTATTAGTGGTCATTCGTATTGATTATTCAGTTTTTCTTGATATGATCCCAATAAAATTAAAAATAATAAGATCTAAGGTATTACTTGTACTAGAACTTCTTAAATACTTACCTCTTTCTATCACTTAGATTAAATTAAATTACAAGAGTGGAGGTAAACGGGTAGAATGAATTATACTGCAGTCTGGCTTATTATAAAAATCAAAACAAAAAATCACAGAATCTCCGCCAAACCTGCCGCGGTAAGTCCCGCACAGAGCCGAATTCCACCACGTAGTGAAATCACGTAGTTCAAGCTTTCACTTAACATACACTTAAACTGTATATTTCTTTAAATTTAATTTAAAGTTTGAGAAAATCGCATCAAAAATCATCTTAGAAATAACCAATTCCTTCTTGACTTAACAAAGTCAATAAGTTAAGTTTTTTATCTTAGCATAATAACAATTATAATTCATTTTATTGCATTTAATCGGTTGTTCTGCGAGTTAGAAAATCTGATCTACATTTAAATATTATTGCATATTTAAAAAAAGCAAAAATATTTTTTGTACTTTTAATTTTTTTAAAGCTATAATAAAAATATTTTCTTAAATGCATAATAATAATATATAATTACGGTTACCGCTATAAACGTTAGAAATTATTAGAAGATTACACTTAAAAATTTCGGTTAAATTAAAATAACTCCTTTTAATTGGTTATTCTCTCCTTTGGAGCGCACCATTTTTCTTTTTGCTACCTACATAAAGAAAAATTTCATTTTTTTTTTTGGTTTGCTCTTCTGCTTCTTCTGTTTTGTTCTAATATAACCATTATAATATAAATTTCGCAAGTTCTTCTATTTATCGTACCAATTTGTCTGCCAGGATAGAAAAAGAAAATTGCAGTGTAATTGCAATTATTTTTAATCCTTGCTAATTATAATATTTTTCATTTTCTTTATATTAAAAATTTTCTTTTCTTCTTCTCTTTTTCTATATTTTTTTATGCAGTTTCTTGCTTCCTGCAAGACACTGATTATCCTTTTTTTTTATAAACATACTTAAAAATTGAAGTAGCGAGAATATGCACGTATCTATATAATTTTAGTATACTTATGGTACCTATATAAATATTTAGATTTTATGCGACAAAAATGGAATAATATTCCATTTTGAAGATATCAAGGATTTAAGTGTGTAAATTAATGATTTGAAATAGTAAAGATCTTTTACACGATATGTTGACAATAAAGTAAAAAATAGGAGAAACGAGAAAACGTTTCATATAATTAGAAATTTACACGTACTTAGAAAAAAATTTTCATAAAAATATTTTCTTATGCAGTTAATGTCTTTTATATTTTGTAGATTATCTTAAGATTACTCGAGTCACTATTTTTAAGAAATTTATTCGGGATAATTAATATGGTTTTTGGTGTTTATAGAATCACACTATGATCCCTTTGCATGTTAGATTATTTTTTTTTGAGTTTACTGGAAATATTTTAATCGTTTTGTATATCAAGATTGGTGTATTTTGCAGTACTAAGATAAAAGTTATGACCCAATATTGTAATCAACTTTTTTGTGTTAAACGGACTAAATCTTCATTTAGCTTTTTATTTATTTATGTTTAGCTCAAAAATTTTACAAAAATTAAAATTAAAGAATACTATACTGTAGACTATAACAAATAATAATCAACCTACACATTAATTTTAAAAATTTATACAATACAAGAACTTGTTAGTACTACAACTCCATTAATTTGTTAAAATAAAAAGAGACTATACTCAACTATAAGTAAATTTTTTTATTGTGCCTTTTCATCAGTGAATTAGTTAGTTTTTAGACTAAATCAATTTTCATAAACTAAAAAATTAACAACACACCTACGATATCACGTCTTTTGCCCAGTGTGGGTGTGTCAATTAATTTGAGTTTGTGTTCATAAGGTGAAAGAATGATGAGGTCTTCTCAAGGAAGAAAGCGTAGTGCGAACCTCAAAAAATTTTTTTGAATAGACTCAATCCTGTTAATATGTATATTGTAATAAGGTGACAATACTTGTGAACCATATTCAAGATGAGGATGGACAAGGCAAGAGTAGAGATATTTCAAGACTTAAGGATTATTAAACTCCTTTGACCAGAGTTTAATGAAATCCAACATTGAGTTTTATTTGCCTTATTATATGGTTATCTACCTAAGTGGCTAACCTGGGAGACACCATAGAATTAGCCGAAAAAGGTGAAGAACTTGCTGATCGAAAGTGGACTCTGTACGTTCTACCAGAGAAGTGTGATTTTACCCAGGGTAAGAAGTTATCAGCGAATCCTAAATGTTTCATTTTACAATAATTACGTCATATTTAGTTTTCAATATTATAGGTTTTTATATATTTCAAAGTTTTCAAAAAATCCCGTAACTCAACAGGGAAAAATTAATATACATACTTGATGAGAAAAACAAGAAACTAAAAAATTAAAATTTAATTTTTATATTAAATTTTCTTCATTTATACGCAATACCCAGCCGCTCCTTTAACTTTAATGCATTTTCTAAAATATTATTTTAAATAATATACGATATACGTATACAAACCTACCCAGACCTCATAATATATGTATATAAAGGGAACATTTTTATAAGAAGGTATGTACAAAAGTATATCCTTGTAACAATAAATTATCTAAGCAATTCCATTTAATTTAAAATAAAAAGAAAAACTTTTATTCTTATTTTGATTGTCCTTTGCATTTTACTACAAAAAAAAAATAATTTTTTTTTTTGCTTCATATCCTTAAGATAACATGCAATTTGCATTTTAATTCAGTACATTCACTTTGTATCAATCTTTTCTATTATATTATAATACTATGTACACATAAATTGTTATAAAATATTGTATATAGAATAAAATGTGCAATTATATTATACTTTAACATAAATGTGTTATACAATATTATATTATAATGTTATATTTTATTATAGAGATCAATTTATTTTTCTAATATTACAAGTTATTTTTTTTCTCCTTCTATTTTCAATGGGAACCGATAGATCAAATTCTGTAACTAATTCAATGACTTGTAAACTTTGATTTGGTTCAACTATATGTATATGAAACGTCTTAAAGGCATTCACTCGATAGTCTTTTGTGACTATAGCTATATATTACACAAAGAGGAGAGAGACGAGTAAATGTTACTTGATATAGTAGGTAACTGTATCTAGCTAAATCAATGATAGAGAGAGTAAAATTAGAAAAAAAAATTTATATACAGAACAAAATGATATAGAAAAGAGAAGCATTTTTTTTTTCTAGAAAAAAAAATAAATATAGAAAAAACATAAAAAGCTTATCATCTTTTCAATAAACAAGCAAAAACTATTAAATTCAAATAAAAATGCCCTTTGGGATTTACCAACTTGAGTAATGATCTCATATTTTAATTTTGAAGGAATTATTTTTCTCTTGGAATAGAAAAAAAAAAGTTTTTCTTTTCTCTCTTTTTCTCTTTTCTACTCTATACTCTTCCTAGAAATACATTATGATATTTGTGTAGGTCTAGGTACTTTTATTTTTTCTAGTAATATAATATCATTGTTATATTATGATGATAATACAACTATATTACAACTACAATTTTATCATTATTATAGTCAAACCTCTTCAAAATGAACTATTGTAAGACGAATTTCTTCTCAATATCAACTGTTTTACTCGATTTACGAGTTTTGCCACGCGCATCCAAAAAAACGGACGCCATAACTTTTCCAGCTGATAAAGTTGTTTTTGCCTTCTTCGAAGCCGGTTCTCCCCTACTGGTCCATTGTTTCGACTGCTGTTTTGTTTCAAGAGTGTAATGATGAACCCATTTTTCATCCATTGTTATAAATCGACGCAAAAATTTAGTCTTTATTTTTTTAGTAAACATGGCCAAACAGTTCATTGAAACATCCGCACGATGTTGTTTGTGGTCGATTGTGAGTAAACGCGGCACCCATCTTGCGGAAAGCTTTTTCATGTCCAAATTTTCGGTCAATATCCGATGTATAGCACTTTTTGATAAGCCTACTATATCAGCTAACTCACGCACTTTCAATCGACGGTCGTCTAGTATAATTTTGTGGATTTTTTTAAACGTTTCTGGCGTGGTGACCTCATTTTGTTGACCAGTGCGATGTTCATCTTCACAGCTCGTACGGCCACGTTTAAACTGCGCTACCCAATTTTTAATCATTGCATATGAGGGAGCAGACTCCCCTAGTGTAGAATCTAGTGCACTTTTGCTACCGGATGGACTAAGACCTTTCAAATAAAAATATTGAATGACATAACGATGACCAATTTTATCCATATTAAAAATTTACTTAAAAGCTTTACTATTAATAGTCGGTAATCTGAAAAGAAAAAAAAAATAAAGTAAAAGTGTGACAGTTAATCCTAAAAATGATAGGGCTTTCTGCCAGGCTTATTTCTTTTTCAAAGTTTTTGTGTTTTCTTAGTTAGGCTACTTAATTCTGGGACATCCCTCGTATTGAAATACTCTCTAACCAGAAAATTTTTTACGTAATTTTGATGACGACAGTCTTTATGACACGAAATTAGTAAACACAAATTCCCTTTGAGCCGCAAATTTCTCAGAGCTAAAAAAATTTTAATGTGAACAACTTTTTTTTGAGTGAAATTTTTGGTTTGGAAATGTGTACGAGTGCATTATTGGTGTGTTGAATTTTTTTTTTCATAAGTTATTTTGCATACACTCTAACGTCAATTTTCTCTTACACGAATTAGTTTTGTTGTAAAACATTGTGATTTGTGCTATGCGAGCCCGACTTCATTTCATTCTATATGTAAAGTTATGAGCCTGACCTGTTATTTTTCTATATTTTTCATATATTATAATTTTAATATTTATTTTTTTGGTTAGTTTTGAATTTTTTTTTTATTTCTATTAAGTTATGTATGTATGTGTATATTTTTTCAAGGATAAAATCATTTTATTTAGAATGTTATAATATAGAAGTAATTTTCTATAAAATGTAATTTTAAAATAAAGATTGCAAAATTATAGAATCTATTGAATGATATACGATTTTTTTAGTCTTCTGGTTGGAATAATAGCATAGATATATCAAATAAATGTCAAAATATAAATGAAAAATTTTAAATTATATCGGATTTTAGCTTGAGATTACAAAAACATAAATAAACAGCCCTAGAAATTATCGACTAATAATATGGAACGTACTTTACTTCTACCTCATAATTTCATAGTCTAGAAGTTAAAATTAATTAAAATTCAATTAAATTATAAAAAGATACTCAGTTGCAGCTGGACAAAAGTAATTCTCTATATAATTGTTGTTACTTATAAAGGTTTTCTCTCATATTCAGGTTGAACTTCCTTAATAATTTTCAATAGTTCAACTCCAAATATTTTCCTTCAAAATATTATGTTTTTTAAACTGAATTTGAATAATATGGAAGATATTATGAAACAAAACTAAATAAATTTCTATATCAATAATTATTATATGAGACAGAAACCCAAAGAAAGAAACGAAAGTATAAAATACTATTTAGCCATTTATATAAAAGTCCTCAAAATATCTATAAATATTCCACAACTTTTTAAAATTTTAAAATATCATTGGTCTCAGAGGAAATAATTTTAAAATAGTATTATTTCAAAAACTTCAAATAAATAATGGAAATTGTTTTGTCTTGAATTATTTTTGATTTTCTCAATCGATTTTAATATTCAAAACAGAATTTTTCTTTGATTTATTTTGACACCCCAATTAAATGTTATATTAGAAAAGTATTAATGTCACAATAATTGAAATATAAAATATTTAAAATGAATCGAATTTTGACAATAAATTAATGGTATATTGAAATTTTGAAAAGGAAGAAAAAAATGATTCATAAAATGGATTAGAAATTTAAATAAAAACCTTTTGGGTAATTTGGGACCTTTTAATTTGATATTTAATTATTTCATACTACAGAATGCTGTTCTTAGGGTTCATAGTAAGAGTCTGAAATCTCATTCACAAATAAATTCTAATGCTTTTAGAAACAGAAACATTATTTTTCTATTACAAAATATGGCGGTATCACTCTCTCGTCTTTAATTGGTAACACTTCAAAGTCGAGATAATGCAAATTTTTCATTAAGCTAGTGTGCCTAAGCTACTTAGCAATTTATAATTAATTCAGTATCTACAGCCACAAAGTGCTTATTTCCAAAAAAAAAAATTCCAATTTCGATTTTGTCCAAATTGACCATATTTCGACTGGGTTAAGATAAGTTTCTTAATTAAATTTATAAATAATTCAATAAACTTTTAACCGGCTGCACTCATACTTATTTAATGAACCAATTTACTTACACTGGGGTGTCTCAGACCACTGTGAAAATATCCATCAGCAAAAATATCCAAAACGCCATTAAAGCTATTTTTTTAAATATTTTCGCGAAAAGATACTCTTACCCTCCAATTTCTTACCGTAAACTAATAACATAAAGGAGAACTTACACATACTTCTCGAATTGTTTACACTAACTTTAAAAGAGAAATTAATAAATTATATTCTGTTGGAGTCTACCAGACCGCAGTGTGTATATTCCAGGTTGCGTGTGTATTCTTCTCTTCTATGTATCTATACCGAAATTCATTTTTTCTCGTATTTAATTTTCAACACTTGAAATTGAGTTTTCTTAATTCAAAGATTCATCGTTCTCAAATTAATTCGTGATATATTAATGTTTTTTTTTTTTTGTATATTATTCTATTCTTCTGTGTATTGTTCAATTAATTTGAAAATTATTTTTTTCTGTTATTCTTTAATTTAACTTTTTCTATTTTTTGATTCATTTCACTCCGTTCTTATTTTATTTCTTACATATTTATTATTTTTACCCTCATATACGTAGCTTTTGTGTATTTTTCTAATATTCATGTTTAATATAAGATATTCTATATTTACGATATACGATAATTTGTGTTATAATAGAAACGCTATATTATTAAGCAAATACATAAATATTCGAATATAATCAACCAATCAATTCGGTATATGAAAACTGTATAAATTAACGAACTAAGAATATAAAAACTTACATGTTAATGAATAAAAACAAATCGAAGATATAAATATATTATATATATAAAATATAAATAAGATATAAGACATAAAACAAAAGAAATCATAATTGTAATATTCTGTTTTGTAGACAGTAGCCGGTCGTCTGCACGGTTCAATAATTTGAAAACAATCAATAGCTGAAATGAGAAAAAGTTCAAATAATTATTGAAATTTAAAGCTCCTAAACTAAAGCAAAATTTTTAACAGAAAGCATTTTAAGTGCATTATTTTTAAAGGAATTTTCCGAAACTTGATTACCACCACCAAGTTGTAATTTTTCTTTGCTGAAATAAATTGCAATTTTATTTATTAAAATTGCAGCAGAATTCTACCAAGAACGCTGTGTAATCTTGTTCAATTTCATTCTAACACTCTTTGTGTAAATAATGGAAAAATAAAACACTAAAACTAAAAATTCAAAATCCTCCTTTCAAAAATCCTTTTTAGTCTATTTATAACACTTTTACTAGTATGTATTGAAATGTAAAATATTATTGCCTTTGATATTCTTAATGAAGTTCTGTAATATCTAGCATAATATTATGATGTTATGTTTGCCCATGTTTATACCCTAATGATAATAAGAAATTTCCAAAAAAAAAACAAGAAACTAAAGAAAAATATTATCAAATAGAAGGCAAAAAAAAATCCAAGTTAAATCCAATAACTAGATTTATATTGAAATTCGAAAACGAAAAAAAAAACAAACAAAAGCAAAAAAAAAAGCATTTTTTTTTGTGTTGCAAAAGGAAAAACAAAGAAATAATGTTTGTAATGTAAAAGATAGGAAATAACATAAATAACTTAAATCAACATAAAGATAACATCTTAATGAACCATCTAGTTATTTTAATATCTATGTGAGTATTTGTACATACATATGCACGTATACTGCTAAAATACATAACAAATTTTCAAAATATCAGAGGCTTCCAAAAAAGCATTCTCCCTATAGCTCCTACACAAAAATATTATGGTTAATACTAGTGTTCTCACTGACTTACCACTAGAAAAATGGAAAATCTTATCAAACGGAATCAAATTCATTAGTGAATTTTCAGAGTGGAATCAAATTCGTAAGTGGAATTAACCTTTTCGTTGGTGGAATTTTGTGAATTCACATAAAAATTCTATGCAAATTGCTAAGAATCTGTTGAATGTAGATTATGCAGCAAATTAATGGGCTTTGCTTTCTTTATATTATAAAAGACGATGTTTGTGCAATCATTGATTTTTTTTATGCTGTCTACGTCAGCAGAAAAATCAAAATTTAACTGGTTCTTTAAATAAAATTTCACCGTCTTTTACTGGAAGGATGAGTAGGCATGCCTTTACTGTTCATGCTTATTAAAGTTTTCAAAGTTATCGCTGACGTACACCTCCTCTTATTACAAGTTTCTCTATCGAATGCAGCTTAACAAAATACCACCTGAAGAAGTTAGACAGCGAATTTCTTCTTGTAAAAATTTGGTAGCTGATTTGTACACTATCATTCTCCTTGCCAACCAATAACAGCAGTCCAAAGAGGCGACTATTCTGTTGTCATATATAGATGGTCATGTAAAAATTTTTAAGAATTACCAATTTTAGAAATTGCAATTCTCCTCACCTGAATACAAGAAACTATTAAAAAACAATCTTACGATTTTAGTTTTAAACGCACATTGTTGGCGGGTTCAGAAAAATTTTTAGAAAATTCTGAAAAATTTTTCTTTCTTTTATTTTTATAATAATAACATGCTAAAATTTTAACAATATACTCTAATATGCCCGTAACCAATCTCCATCTAATCATCAGTACGTGAATTTTGTATTTTATTTATAAATAAATAGTTGAAATTTTGTTTTCAATAGAATTTAGTAGAGCAAAGGAAGTAACATTGTTTTCTACTCATTAAATTAAATATCAAGCGATGTTATTATACACTTACAATTACAATGTGTATATTATGTTTACATAGATATACATACGTATGTGAACTTAATATATCAGTAGCGCAAAAATAACCAATCTTTAGGGTAGATGTAGATTCTAAGGGAACTGAGTGGGGACAGGAGCATCCCCCCAAGCCACCGCAGAAATTTTTGACTTATTGTAGCAACCCCACTCTCCCGTCTATAATATCCCCGTCCCAATCACAAAGCCGGAGATATCCCTAAGGGAGTTGGACAATAGTTCCCGAACACTTAGGGACCCATGTC